TATATAAGGCGGAAATAATTTTTGGTCTCTGAGTTAGTGTAGGGATAGTAGGAATTGTTGTAGGGAGGAGGATATTGTTTTTTATGCGGAAATGGTAGAAGGAATTACGGCCTGTGGATGTATTTGGACAGGGAAAAAGAACATAGTTTTCATCGGCTATTCAGGAATTGTCGCAGGAGCAATAAGGAGAGTCCAAGATGTTTATTTTAAAGAAATGGGATGGTAGGCTATTGTGGTTGAGGCGAAGGCGTGATATGGAAGTTAGAAATTTTCTGAAAGCTTCGTAGGGTCGAAACCAAGGGAAACGTGGGATTTGAGGCGGGACATCTTTATAATAACGCCCTTCCACACTGTCAGAGTACTCTTTTTGCCATTTTTGATGTCAGTATCTATTTAAGTGAGCCCTTTTCCAAAACCCGCATTTTCCAAGATAAAATATCCATAACTTCCCGGAACCCTTCCACCTCCAAACTATCAGAACATGCCATAACCCTCATCCACTCATTTGATTTTGAAAACACCTCTATCCTTGCCACGGTCCCCAACCACGAAAAAGGATTCTTTTCCGAATCCATCCACATTTGCATGGAACAGAATCCGGTTAATCATAAAGTAGATAAAAACTGTATTTCTTTAATATATAGACACATTTTAAATCTTATAAGTGAAAAATAACTTATATATTACATTCTATTATTTTTATTTTGATCTACTTGCAATTTTTACTGATTAATTCAATTTAATTGTTCATTATTCTAAGTATTTCCGTTTTGTATGATCTCTCTTTTATTTTATTTTAAATTTATATTTACACTCTAGTGTAAGTTAGTTCTGCAATGTATATATGTAAATGAAGTTATTTCTATATCCATATTTTACTTCTTCCATTATTGTTGTTATGCAACTATAATCTCTTAATTCTATTTTATAATTTAATATTTCATAGATATAGTATTTTTCCATTGTATCCATCCCATCCACATCTTCAAATTTTAGATACTATAATTTTCTAGGTTTTCCTCCATTACCGAAACAAGTCAGCTTCCCCAATACATGTCCTTACTTACCCTGGTTTTTCCAGTTCTAAATGAAACTCCTAGCAGAACACACCTGTATGTCTCAAATTTTGTTCTTCCAATTTTATTTACTTATTTATTTATTTTGTTGGTTTTCTTTCTCCACATTTCTTTATGTCTATTTTTTCATATTATATCCTTTTTCCTTTTCTTTCAATCTCTCCTGTAGATCTGTAGAAGTATATTCACATTTGCATTTATTATATATTACACTACAACAATTGTTAGCATCTATTTACTTCAGTTTAGGATCTTGTTACTTAGCTTACTTTGTTCATATTTTAATGTACTTACTGTTTATAATTTTAATAAGCTTATTCACATTTTTTTCTAATTTTTTGTCTAAATATTATGTAACTTCCACAATTCTCTATATTTTTGTATCTTGTCCGTTCTGGCCCTGAAGAAGCCCTGCAAAGTCGGGTCGAAACGTTGGCTTTTAATAAAAATAGTTCTACCACTATTTAGCCTATTTATGGCCGCCCTCCTCCCCCGGACCATCTCCTTCCTTCATTTTATATTTCACTTCTTCTTTCACACAAGTACGATGAAATAGTTTTTTAAATAAGGACATTGGCTTGATTCGGTGAATTTAAAATAATTTTTTCTCAAAATTAAAAAAAAAAATTAAAAGTTTACATTTAGTAAGAAAAATTCATTTTATTTTCTTTGAAATATGTCATTTCCGTTAAATAATGTTAGTTTCACAGATTATTATTTATAATCTTTTGTCACTCTCTATTACCCTCTACGACTTTCTTTATTATATATTGTTTTGTTTTTTTCTTAAATTATCAGTTTTCCAAAGATATATTATACGTATACCTTCTGACTAGTATTTCCGGTGATTTATTTTTAACCTAAATAAACATTTTTTCTTTTTTCTTCTGTTTCCAATTATCAAATGCTTCCATGCTTTATATTTAGTCATTATTTCATAATTACTGTCAATAAGAGAGAGTTATTTTTTTTTTATTAAACCAAATTATTACCATATTAAAGTTACTTAAGAGTAAGACGTATAAAATCAAACACGCACACAAATAGACCATTTTGCGGGACTTAGTTACTTGGACTCAGGAGACCTCAAAACATGTATTTCCGTTGAAAACTGAGATTCGAAAATTTTCAGGATCGCAATACTTTCTCTTTCTATATATTTCATATATAGGTAAGTGAAAGTAAAAGGATTAGACCCATGCCATGAAAAGATGTGATTTTATAAAATTTTAATATCTCTATGAATATTATTTTTGACTTGCACTGCATGAATTTCTAGGTTATAATATATCAATCGATTTTTTTTTTCTTTTTTGTGTAAAATAAGAAAAAATATATTGTGATTGTATTAAACAAATTCAAATGTATGATGAATAAAAAAAACTAATAGACGCTTCCGATAAACAAGTCCAAGTAAAAATCATTAAAAACGATCCATATTCATATTAATTTCTAGCGTTCTTTGGAATCATTAAATATGAATTTATATTAAAAAAAATATATATAAAAATTTTTGGATTTGGTTTTATGGAAGAATTTTTTTTTTTGTTGCCTTTTACTAATCTATCTGGATTTTCATCTATGTTAACTTTACTGCGACCTTTGAAAACTTGAATTATTCCTCTTTCGAATCACATCAAAAACTTTTTTCACATTTTAAGCCTTTTAAATGAATAAAGAAAGAAAAACTCATTATACGCTTTTGTTTTATGCCTTCATTTCTAATTTGTTTACAGGGTGCGGATAAGTAGAGTCATGCTGAAACTGCTCCCCTTCCAAAGTCATATCATAACCTAATTTAAGAAAAACAATTTGGTGCGCGCAACACACAACCGCTCTACATTAAATAGAAATTCTATTCTAGCATTGTTGGGCTATTATGAAATTTTTGAAGTGCATTTTAAACGGAACTAAAGCTTAAAGCTTACAGACAACAAATAATTAAGACCATTAAAATGTATTTATTATATCGACGGTAGGCATTAAAAATCTAGTCACTCCAACTGCTTTTATAAACCACGTAGTGATATTTCTAGTTGGAAGCGGTATATCTATACAGACAGTGAGTAACTTGATTCCAGAATAGGTGATTGCAGCGTTGAAATGTAGAACTGTGAATAAAAGTATAAATTTTGTAACTGGAAACATCACTGAAATAAATAATAAACAATGTTGAAATCAGAGTCATTCTGTCAACCGAAAGGCTCATACATGGCAAGAGAGATTTGAAAGTATTGTATATCTAAATATTTAACCTATACGCGATTATGGATTGTAGGACTATTAGTTATTATACTGTTATTTTCCATTGTAAAGTTTACAAAAATAAAATTACAAGATTGTCAATGCCTGCCATGGATAGGTCAACAGTTGTCACACAAATTGTAAGTGGATAATTAGACACATATAGACCATTTTTCGGGACTTGGTTATTTGGACTCAGAGGACCCCTAAACATGCATTTCCGCTGAAAACTCGAATTCGAAAATTTTCAAGATCACAATACTTTCTCTTACCATATATTTCATATATAGGTGAGTGGAAGTAAAAATGTTTCCCGCGATTTAGGAATTTTAATTAATGTTATTAAAATTAGTTGTTTTAATTAATGTAACTATAACTATATACAATTATATATATTTAATATCATTATTTTGTTATTATCCAATTTAATTTATTTTTATTTATAATTTTATGGAAATATAGTGTGAATATGCTCTTTTATCGCGTTTACTGATGCCATTAATTGTGACTGTCACAAATCAACAAACAAATAAATAGCAACAGTTTGAAAGAAATTAATTAAGAAATAAATGCTAATTCCCCTCAAATTCAATTACCTGACGTTTTTAAAATAATATCCTCTCCTTATATAACGGCCTTGTTATGCGCTAGAATTTTAAACATCTAATTGGTGTCAGTCTTTATGTATTTCCACATTCTGACACCAGCATACCAAAATTAATTAGATAGTCTAACGTGTTTTTGGTAATCTCAATCGTTTTTAAATGGCCCAATATTTCTAAGTATCTTGTACAGAGTTCTCCATGTGAGTATTTATTTTTTTTTAATATTTCCTTTTATTACTGAAATATTTTTTTTTTTTTAGTTATTGAATATGAATATGATTTCGTTTTAAAAATTCATTTTTGGAAGGGTGTTTATTAATTTTATTTTACGATTTTTAAAACTCTTATTCTCGTCAAACGGTGGAATGTAAGTCCCACAATAATATATCAAGTTCACTTAAATTTGTTTATAATATTGTATTTCAAAATTATAAAGGTATACACAGTAATGACTACAAACTAACTCAAAAAAACTGACGGACCAATATCTTAAAAAGGTTCAAAATTATACAAACTGACATCTGTGATGAAAACCCGCAATTCAACAATGTCTACAACAGAACATAATTTGTTTTCTTAATTAAGACAAATTTGGTTAAAGTTATTTAAGCAATTGACTCTGACTTATTCAACAGGGTATGGTGATCTTAGGTAATTTGTTGTTAGGTTTATTTCGTTGAATTTTATAAGTTAATATGTTTTTTTCTTCAGTTTTCAATTTAAATTATTTTGAAACTTTAGTATTCACACATAAAACTTCTGTAGTACCTATGTATATATATATATATATATATATATATATATATATATATATATATATATATATATATATATCTTGTAGTATATATATATATATAGTTTTCACTTATTTTTTTAAATTTTAAAGAATATATATTGTAAGTAAGAGATTCTACAACTTCATAACAAATTGTAAAGGTAATATCCTCTTTATCTAAACCAGGAAGGAAATTTCTTATGAAAATGGATTTTTTTTTTCCCTGTAAGATAGCTTTTATCTCTCATTAATTTGACAAATATCAAATGGTAGTATCTTTCAATCAACAACAGTGTGTTACGGGAGGTCATTTTCCACAAATGGATTCTACAGGTGGGTCATGTCGTTTACTATAAGTACATTTTTACTCATATTACAGCAAAATCCTTCCTTCCTACTTTAACATTCTTTTCTAAAAAAAAAAATAATAATAAAAAAAATACCCAAATACTACATATAAAACTAAAATTATGTAAGCTTTATTTAAATGAAATGAAAACGTATGATAAAAAAGCAATAACCATCCTGGAGCGTTTGGGTATAAGTATGCTTTGTCTAATATTGTAAGTGAAAAATATAGTTATTCAGGATAAAAATATTTAAAAAAAAGAAAGTTTGTGACCAAAATCTTGTGAGAATGGTTGAATGTATGTCAGTAAGTCCTCAAACCATAAGCGCTAGCGATTTGAAAATATTGAGGACTAGCGATTATAAAATAATCGCTAGTCCTCAATAAAAAGTTATGACCAAAAAAAGGATAAAATAAAAATATAATAAAATAATTTTTAATAAATATAATTTTCCATAGCAATTTTTATTTGTTGGGCGCCTGGCTTAACAGCCTTTCATCTCTAAAGAGATAAATTAGAAAACAGAAAGTACTTACCCTTTAATGGCCATCATTACATATTTACTCTACCATGCTAGCTCAGGTGAGAAGGGGTTAGGTTGGATAATTTTTATAAAGCAGCAAAAAGGTTAACAGATCTATTTACAAAAAGAAATATTTACAGAATTAATACTATGTACAATAAAAAGAAATAAAATACAAGGAAAAGGAGGGAACTCAAACATAATTACTATATACAATTAAAGTTAAAAAAAAAGAAAGATATTTAAAATAATAAAGATAATACAAATAACAAAAAAAGATACTTATTTTATATACAATATTATGGCATGCCACATCCAAAGATAGTCAAGATACAATAAGATGTAAGAGTACATGCACATGCTAAAATATCAATCAGTCATCATCTTAGGAAACAAAAGACAGTAGAGTTTGTTTTGTTTCCAGTGCTTTCTTAATCTTGGTTACAAAGTTTATTAAACTTTTTGTCACTTAGTTTATAAGTAAATGAATGTGAAATATTGAGGGGCCGTAAGGGAAACATTCTGGCCATATTCATAATATACTGATGAAGGGATGCCTATTCTTCTCAGCGCCGAAGAACAAGATCCATCCTCTAACTTAATTTTAATAGATCATATAAAATTACACTTGCTATGTCTGTTCAGCGATTCCCTGGTTTGAAAGTTTCTCCGAATTGAAACCGTACAAAAATAAACCAAATTAAAGGTATTTTACAGGAAGACAAGTTGAACATTGGGAATTTTAGCTCTGTAAAGTGACATCAATGAGGAGAGGACCTAATGGATATTTATGACCAACAAATTATAAATCATCGAGTTTAATCAAAAGTGTTAGAGCCGTTTTTGAGAAAATTGTAAAAATGTGTTTCGCCGTTTATATAAAGTGGCACTTCTGGTTAGCCGATTTTTATGAAAACGTTTCTGTAGGTATATACAAACCTCAAATATGAAATTTCACTTGTCGTTTTTGAGCTAGACTGTTCACATACATACACACACAGACCATTTTGAGGGACTTAGTTATTTGGACTCAGAAGACCTCAAAACATGTGTTTCCGTTGAAAACTGAGATTCGAAAATTTTCATGATCGCTATACTTTCCTTTACTATATATTTCTTATGTAGGTAAGTGAAAGTAATATTGTTATCTAAAAAAATCATAACCCAGTAAAAATGTACAGTCCTAAAAATTTTTCATTGCGCAACTTGCGCTATGCAAACCCCTTTTGAGAATTCCTGCATAGGGAAGCCGTTTACCTTCTTACGTTGCCGGTGCCTACACTTAAAAATCTCGTGCATAAAGTTGAATTATTTAATATCAGTTCTGTCCACCTAAATCGGAATTGGGCCCACTGCGTTACGCCGCTAGTCTCGATGTTGCGAAGATGAATGATGTCTTAACTCACTTGGCTATAAAGATCTTCCGATTTGTGAAATACCAGCTTATAGTTTACGTTACATAAAGAGTAGCACATACCAGATCTTGGTTAGGTTTCGACGAAACGTGCTAAACCCGAAAACGCTCTTACTCGTCATTACTCTATTTTAGTAACATAAATTTCGATTTAATCTTTTGCACTATTTATGTTAAATGAAAAAAAAAAAAATTGTTTTATTCTATAAATCATAAAAATGTTACTTTTTTCATAAGTTTAATACCATAATATATTAATCTCATTGGGATAAATTAACAATGTAGCATTCACATTTTAATATGAACTAAGCCAGTTCAAAGATATCATTATCTCTAAACCCATTATTTCTTTTAATCGTTTTTCAGAGATTGAAATACGTAACAAGATCGTAAAGGACAGGTGATAGATCTTTCCAGTTGTAAAGATAAAACTTATCTATAAACCAAGAAATTAAGAAACGACTGATCACGATTCTTTTACATTCACAAGTGCCAGGCAGGTCAGAATGACGGTACGTATTGATAGGTTTATATGCTTTTCGAAATCACACGCTAACATTATTTTCAACTATTTTTATTTATTATTTTTTTTTTTTATTAATACGCGATATATGCTGATTTTCTACAGGGAAAGTTGGAGAGTGGTGTAGATGTGAAACATGGCCTCGGTATCCTTACGGCAGCTATTTTCATTTCGGGTGAAATGGTCGGGAGTGGGATTCTTGCTTTACCAAAAGCTATAGTCGATGCTGGTAATTAATCTATAAAATAATAATTATTTTATTCTATAATATTTACCATTAATTATATGTTCCCTAGTGAATTCAATCTTATTTTTATTCAACACTTCTTAATACATAACTATTGAGGCCATACAATCACAGTTAATGATTTTTTTTATTTTCATGAAAAACTACCCACAATTAGAAATTAGGATATTTGCTTTAAATGGTACTAGTGTGTCTGCAAATGAATTTCGAAAGCATGAGAAAATTATTTTGTTAGCGTTCTTAGAATGAGATATTCGGGACTCAGTAATCGTAAATACTCATTTGCTTTCTACTAGGCTCATAAAATAATTTGATCACAAAATCGAAAAAAAGGTGGCCTTCAAAAATATTGAGACGTTTGGCGTGAACTAAATCCCCAAATTTTCAAAATAACGAGGTTACATAGGACAAACGGCCTAATATTTTTTTAGGCCACATTTATAATTGATTTGGTGATCAAATTATCTTAGACCAAAGTAGAAAGCAAATGGGCATTTAGGAGTTTTTTAGTACCAAATTAAATAGACAAAGTTTGCCCACCTGCAGATTGAAAACCCCCCAATTCCAAGAGTTTTCCTAAATAAAATAGTTTTAGGTTACGATGAAATGAAAATATTTATGAAGTTTCAGGCGGATGTTAATAATTCGATAAAAAGGGATCTGTATCACGGACTATAATGATTTAGCCCCAAAGTCTCCAAACATTTTGGATCGCGAAATTGAAACTTCCATCAAGTCCCGCAGGCTCGTGATAAATAAATGACTCTTCATTAGCTGTGGAGTAAGCTTTCTAAGAAAGAACAACTCATGCAATAAATGTCGTACAAACCTTCTGTTTGAGTGATTCACTTAATTTTGTATTTTTTAAATAGTTTTGAAATTTTACCATATAATTAAAGAAAATTTCACGGGCCGGACTGGAGGAGCTTGCGGATCGAACACGGCCCGTGGGCTGTAGTTTGGAGATCTCTGCTTTAACATGAAAGTACGTTCTTAATAAAAAAATAATAAATAAAAAAACGAAAAGAGGCCTATAGAAAAAGGGCGAAAAACGTATTCAAATCAATTAACAACTGTTTTGTTTGATAAACGAAATATTGGAGACCTTTTCACCATGTACACCATTATTTTATTTTCCCTTTTACTGTCCTTTCATCTATATTAATAAAAACGTAAATATTTGTTTGTTCAAAACCGCTAATCTCCGAAACATCTTCACCAATCGCTTTGAAATATTGACATAATGCTCCTATCTCATTCAGGAGTGTTTTTATATACATTTAATCACCCTCCGGTCTTTCGTTTTGGAATGGCGGCCCAAAAACCTGTGTCGCTCTAGACTGTAGCGCCTAAACGGCTGTAACGTTTTTAATTAAACTTGGCCAAAGTCTTCTCATTGAAGCTCTTTTAATTTATGTCTATAAAATCCTTCCTCGAAAAGAGCATGAAAAAAAAGTTACGATGGGTTCATAACTACATTTTCGAATAACTCAAAAAGTAAACACTTTTTTTTTTTTATTTTACCCGTCACTATTTGAAAGTTTGCTTGACTTTCTGCAAACTAAAAAAAAAAAAAAAAAAAAAAAAAAAAACGTTTCAATGAAATCGGACGATTTGGTGCAGAGAGTGCTTAAATGCTTCCTATTTAGACAATTATATGTTGCGAATTCTCGAATTGAAAAACCAGACAATCTCTCTCTATATATATACAAAGAATGGAAAAACAAACAATATCGCATATTCACAAGTATTGTTACATAAAATATATTAGAAACATCCACTAGCGGATCCAGGATTTTTTTTGGGGGAGGGAGGAAGGGGACTACAGCCCGCAAGCTTTTTTTTCATTTATATAAAAATAATTATTTTAGAAAAAAAAAGAAAATACTAATTACCTATATGAGAAATGGTGTTTTAGTAATTCTTGAATTCATATTAAATCTAATTATACGAACAATAATACATTAAAAGATACTTTTTTAATACTTTTTTCTATAAAACATTTTCTATAAAAATGGTTATATTTTACCATTTTGGGGAAGGGGAGGGGAGTTCAACCCGAAAGCCTCTCCTCTCCCCCTTCCCCTCCCCCCGTAGATCCGCTTGTGGAAACAAAGAGTGATCGGGTACAGCTAGTTTTGAATAAAATGAATACCCCTATTCTAATTATCCTTCAACATTACTTTTCAATTTGTATAAACTAAATGTTTATATATATATATATATATATATATATATATATATATATATATATATATATATATATATATATATATATATATATATATATATATAATATATATATATATATATATATATATAAGTGATAGACTATTCTCTGGCATATTCCTAGCATATTCTCAAACTAATTGTGTATAAAAAGATAAAATAATTATAGAAGAATAATTATTCGATAGTTCGAGCTTAGAAAAAATAATGTATTCATGTACATAATCTTTATATATCAAGATAATTTTGACTCAATGAGGCTTATAAACGCTCAATTAAGCGGATGTTTTTTGGTTTTTTCTTATGTCCAACCTTGACGAAAAAAATGACGAGTTCACACACTCAAATTTGATATCTGTTGTTTGTTTTTTTGTTTTATTTTTATTTGCAATCAGACTTCAGATAAACAGGCGTGTGTATGCCCACAAGACCAATATGATCGTCTTCATGCAAGAAACGTTTTAGATGAAAAACCCTTCACCAATCAATCAAACTTTGGAATGTTTGACTAACTTATGGCGTCATACCTCTATTAAGAATTAATGAGGAATAACATAATTAAATTACAAACCCTGTTTTTATTCTAAGGTATCTCTTAAGTTAATTTATAAAAAAAAAAAATCAGTTTTTCGATGTTTCGTGCTCTTTGTCCATCTTCAAAGACAATTTTTTGTAGGTTATCTTTTCCATTTTCCATAAACAATTTTTTTTGCGATTTTCCTATTTTTATCATTTTAATTTAACATTAAAATGTGTAATAATCTATTTTTTTTTAACACATAAGGTGGATAATTTCCAAGGGTCAGTAAAACGTGGTATGGAGACTAGTGCTATTATATGTTATATATAGACGTCTACCATTAAAAAGGTATTACTGCATTTATTTATTTTTTGAAAGTTCAGAATATGGCATAAAACAAATCCACGCTACAGAAATTTATTCTACTATTGTATCTATTATTCTATTATATTATATTATCTATCATTCTATTATTGATGGCAAACTTTTTTTTTGTATACTTTTGAAATATGAAATCATCGTCATTTTTAGTAGACACCTCACCTCATATATAGGTATATCATATTTTTAAAAACTCATATTTTATATCTTCAATTGATCATATGAATGGCTTCATATCAATGATATCTGTCATTTTCAGAAAGTGGAGAAAAAGTCAATTTTAGTAACTTCAATTTAAACCAATTCTAATGTAATTTTTTTCATGATTTAACTTTCTCATTCTTAATTAAAATCACCAGAAACAGTTTTAGTTCAATCTATTAAACAAAAATTGACTTTTTCTCTAAAGTCCAAATAGGTTTCAGTATTATCTTGTAAATCAGTAACTTTTTTTTCAATGGAAAGTTTAGATTTTCTGTTTAGTAGTCGGTATAATTGGCAGTATCGTCGGTATAGTTCCTGTCTTTTAAATTTAATATGAGAGTTTCAGGTTAGTCGTCGGTCTAAGAGATAGCCAAGGTATCGGACTGTATCTGAGAAAGGAAGCTGGATGGTGTTAAAATAAACTGGTGGACAGGATTTACGACAAAGGGTGAAGGTTATGTGTTCACATTTGGATTCTTTTAATGACGCTGTTTTAGGATCTGAGTTGGTTGAAAGTATAGCGGTACCATCAGCGAATGTTGCCAGTAGAGTATCAGAATGGGCAGAAATATCTGCGATGAAAAGAATGTAAAGGATGGGAAGCAAGATGCTGCCCTGCGGAACTGCTGCCTCAATTAGATGACAATCGGAGAATTCAGTACAACAGCAAACTTGAAAGAAGCGGTCAGAGAGGTGGGACCGGAATATTAGGTATAAGGACTTAGGTAGATGGAATTTAAGCTTGAAGAGCAGTCCAGCGTGCCATACCCGGTCAAAAACTAGTGCTATGCCCAGAAATGCAACCGAACAATATTGCTCCTTTTCTTGGGCTGAGGATATATGGTCGACAACTCGGAGTCCTTGTTGAATATTAGAATGTTTTGATTAAACCTATGAATATTTGATAATTACTAAATTCCATACAAAATAAAAGAAAAAAAATCATCCAAATCGGACAATTATTTATAAGATATTGTAATTTGTCAACATGACTGTAAATTTTCTTTTTCTTGGTCATTTACAATTACCGAGTAAAAGAGAACAGATTCCTCCATGTTATGATATCATTGAATTAATTTATATCCTTGTTATTGGTTTATTATTTTCAATAATGGACCATTGTGATCTAACAAAAACTTAAACCCTCTCAAAATTTGAGGTTTTACGTTCCAGGATATGTAGAATTCGGATATCGAATAAACATTTTTTTGTCCGTTCACCGTACGTGGAACACCGAACGCCGTCCAAGTTCTCAGAAACTACTTGTCCGATTTTTTTAAAATACGGATGTTTCAAAGGTATTTAAATTTCCTAAAAAACGAAGAAAGTTTCATTTTCTACGAAACTACTGGACCGATTTCTTCATATTTGGATTTAAAGTCAGAGGTCACCCGAGGATGATCCTCCTACATCGACATTATTATTCGCCTTTTTCTTTCAAGATGGCGGCCGAAAAATACTGTGTTGCTATGACTGTGGCGCCTAAACGAATCTACCGATTTCAATTAAACTTGGCTTAAGTATTCTTTTTGATGCCCTTATATTTATCTATACATATAATATCTATACTTCAACGAAAAGAAGCTGAAAAAGTTACGAAGGGTGGTAAAATTAGATTTTCGAATAGTTGGAAAATTATACACTTTTTTGGTAATATTGTGGTTATAAATTTTAAATAGTTATTTAATTTACAAACTTACAAAAAAAAATCGTTAAAATCGGACAATTTGGAGCAATGGTATGGTGTCTAGATATTTTTGATATGTACTACTCCATAAGTTTTATCCTTTGTTTAGATTTTTAGATTATTAGATTTAGCAAATTACTGATGATGGAATAAAAAAAAGTTAGGTTCAATAATAGGAATCACCTTTTATTTGTTTTTCTTTGTTACTAGAAATGTAATGCTACTTTAGATGTATTACTTATTTGGAAATAATACAACATTGTGAAATACTTTGCACCGTTTTTTCATTTGTTTGCCAATATAATATGCGAATTATTCCCACGAGGCAGCAAGTACTATTAATAATATAATAAAATATTTATTCTTAATTAGTGATTTTGTTACCAGCATATATCAGTCACACACGTTGGGTCTATAATTTTTTTCATTGCGGAAAGATAACTTCATTTTTTTCATATAACAAATATAGCAGGACTAAATCTTGATCCAAAAATAAACACTACAACCTTAATCAAAGCTAGTTAAGAACTGGGACTCGAAATAGAAACAGATAAGATAAAATATATGGTTAGCTGCAAAAATGGCGAAAATTTCGGTGATATCGAAAAGGAAATTTGTTTGAACATGTAGAAAATTTTATGTATCCAGGGTCTACAATAACTATAACAAAAAAATATCAGGTTGAAAGCGTAAAATGCTTGTAATTTTTCAGTGCCTAAACTACTTATCTCTCACCTTCTGTCCCGAAACTTAAAAATCAGAATTCACAAAACCATTATTCTACCTACGCATAGGTACAATAATGGTTTTGTAAACCGTAGCTATGGTTTGTAGCCATCACCACTCGGAACTAAAGAAAATTCCAGATAGTATGAATGTGTTCTTCCTTTAATATTAATCGAAAAGATTTTGATGATTTTATCCTGAAAGATTTAATCTCTTGCTCTGATTGTATCCGTGAGGCAGTTCGTATTTTGGACAAGGCATATGAGGATGTATAGCTCATGTAAAACACCACATGGATAAATAACGTCTAATTTTTTTATGCTTCGTTTATCGGCCTCTTTTTAAACAAATATTAGTTTGGAGATAATCCACTATCTCATACATAATCATCATTATCACTTGTTACCACGTGTCTTTTGTTTGATTTCTTAGCAAGTATTTCATTATATTCTGCAAAATATGCTATTGGCTAACCAGCAATCATAAAACAATTTAAGATTTCTCATGTAAAACTGTTATCGATTTGAATACTTTGTGCCAATCTTATTTTATCAATTTTACGAGGGAGGCTACTTCCTTTCACTGCTACCCAGAAACTTATTGAAATCCAATACCCTTTAAAGTTTTTTTATTAACAAAATTAAGTTAAAATATAAATTGTGGTTTAACGAATATCCCAATGGCCTAGAGTTATTAGTGTATATATATGGGTTGTATATATATTTTCTGTTTTTAAGGTTGGTACGGGTTCCTGCTTCTGATTATATTTGGCCTGAATTCATGCTACTGCGGTGTCAAGCTAGGCCAATGCTGGGAAATATTGGAAGAAAGATTTCCTGAATGTAGGGGAATAAGCAGGAATCCATATCCTGATATAGGAGAGCGTGCAATGGGAGAGTTCGGCAGGTACATCAATTTCCTAACATGTGCTAAAATTATAAAATTTGTATAAGGCAAACTAAGACGAAAAAAGAACAATATAATTGTAATAAACGTGAAAATTCTAATTTTAAAGCCCGAACCTTAAGGGGTATTAGATCTTTGACATAGTTAAAAGAACTTCTTTCATGATTGTTAATTTTAAAAAATAACATGCAAAAACATTGCTATTCATTTCACAAAATATACCTATTGGATTAAGAGGAAAGTAATTGGTTTATTTTGCAATACCTTAAAAGCTGATGATTCCGAATAAGTGACAAATGAATGACGTTTTTCACCCTATATATATATATATATATATATATATATATATATATATATATATATATATAAAAGTCTATAGCATTTTTGATGAAGTGGAAAAAGTGATTCAGTCCTCATTAAAATATATTATAAAGGCTAATAACTCACTATATATAATGTAAGTACTCATAATCTTCTGAATTTTAAATATCTTCTTCTTTAGCTCAAAATCCATTATACATGTTCAAAAGCCAATAATATTTTTTAAATTTATTTTATAGCATACATATTTAATATTATTTTAAAATTAAACACACTTCAGTCAATTTCTAAAAAATTATATAACCAATTATATTTCAGTCTTTATAGGGTTTAATAGAATTTTTCCGCTGCTTTAGGATCTAACGCACGAACTTCCCTCGGAATTTCACGATGATGTCTTGAATAGTTTACATCAAAAAATAAAGTTATGATTGCACGTTAAATGTGCGATTTCCTAGTCCGAATTAAATAATAAAAACGTCTAAATGATAGGACAAACAAATTTTCTAGGATTTATCAGGATAGTGATAGAATAAATTAGTCAAGGTGCCGAGGTTTTTTCCTTGTTAAATTACTGGTAGGTACCCTGGAATCAGGAGAGGGTTAATTGGAAACAGCCAAATAATGTCAATTCATAGATTTCATCATGAAATAGTTTACTAATATAAAAAAAATGTAAATAAAAATAAATTACTAATTTTTGGTTCAGAAATAATTAAATCCTTTCCTCGGGTTTTGAATCAAGTGGACATATTGGATTAACAGTTGATATACTATCCATAAACTCATAAAATATAGCTATATTATTATAATTTAAGAATAATATCAATTTCCATTCACTTTTTGTTATCAGACAGTGCGTAAGTATCTGCAATTACTTTACACTTTTTGGTGTAGCAACTGTATACCTACTTCTGGCTTCTCAAATGACGCATACGCTGTTGAAAGATTATGTCCAGGAACTGACAGTTTGCGTTTTAATTTTAATTTTGGCTATTGTTCTAACACCTCCTACGTGGCTCGGTTCACCAAAAGATTTCTGGTAAGAAAGAAAAAAAAAATTTAATTTAAATATTTATAACGAAACCTCGATAAACATTTTATTTTTTTTTCTCAATTAGGATAGTAGGAGTTTTCGCCCTATCGACAACTCTCATATCCTGTCTCCTTATTTTCGCTCAGATGATTATTGATTATAACAACATGAGTAACACAGCGGTTCACAAAGAACCTGCTCTTATCGACATCTTCACATCAAGCGGAACCATATTGTTCTCGTTCGGAGCTGCATCCATATTTCCTTCAATACAAAATGATATGAAAAATAGGAAAATGTTTAAGTACAGCGTTACTTTAGCCTTTATAGGTAAGCCATTAATATCATGTATGGAAAAAAAATCACTACATTTCTAGGGTAATTAAAATAAAAATTAAGTACTTTATAAACGAAGATCATTCCATTTACCATTCGCAAAATTCATTCTGGTCTGGTTTAATTTAGGGGAAGGGGCTTGGAAAACTTTGTAAACATAAATTTTTTATATTTATTCTTATATAAATATATTTAGTAGTTAAAGTATATGCGTTATAATTTAGAAAGAGAACATAGTTTGACTGCTTAAGTACTTATAGTATATCACTAAAAAAAAAAAAAAATTATGAAGCAATGAAAAAAGAAAATTGGTTTTCTATTTTTGGAAATTCAATTTTCCATTTCCATTCAACATGAAAGCTCCCCCTACTCTCTCTCCAGTGGGTCCGTCTATTATCAGTTGTCCGGACTAAAACATGAAAGAAATTAATTTTACAGTGAACAACCAACTTTTAAGCATTGAGGAGAAGCAATAATATAGAAAACATTTTAGACTGTTCTTTTTTTTTTTTTTTTTTGCACAAAACAATTCACAATTCTATGTCAAATGAATTTTATGCATTATAGGAACGTATTTTGTCATTAATGCTGCCAAACAAAAAATGGTCATTTTTATTTTTTTGTAGTGATTTATTAAATTTTCAATAATTCGAAAACATATTTGAATATTCAAAAAAATGTAATTATGATGAAACAAAAGTCAATTTAAAATGACTAAGTTGCATTAAAAAAATTCTATTGCATTGAATGTGTTGTGATATGATATTGATTAGCCACAGAGATCAATGTATCTGTGTCCTGGAGGTAGAGAAAGCCATGTACATTTTCGTATTGAATAATTTAGTACATTAGAAACAAGCGTTAATAGCTCAAAGTTATGGTAAATTGGATCCCCTGAAAAAATACAAAAATGGACATAGTGCTCTTTACCGCAGGGATACAGATAGGTTTCATTTGTTTAAATTATTACTTTGACATTTAAAATGGGATATTTTAGGAAAAAGGTATATTAATTTTAAACAATTAAAAAAAAAAAAGCTAATTACAAGAATTCATGTGACTGACAAAAATAAAGTATAAAAATTATCCAGATATTTAAAGCTCTTCAACTTCGTCTAATAAAGCTTTTAAAAATGAAAATTTTCAATTCGGATCGTTCTCTCTTAAATTCTCAACGTTTTATCTATTTTAACTAAATAACACTATAAATATTTAACGATAGGTCTATCTTACTTGGGGCACACATTTGTCGAGATAGTTTATTTTATTTTTAGTAAAATTTCTTAATTTTGAATATTTGTTTTTTCTATTATTTAATTTATATTTATTCTTTTTGATGAACGTTAACATATTTTTTCGACATTGTTTTTTTTCATTAAATATATAAATATATGTTTTCTATACTTAGAGCACTAATCCTTAATATTTTTTCTGCTTTAGAAAATTAGTATAAAAAATACATACATTAACGACCTACATCTTTTCAGTTATATTGGCGCTGTATCTGCCTATGACGATTTTAGCTTATGTAATATACGGAGAAGCCAGTGAAGATAATATACTATTATCTCTAAGTCCTTCTCTTTTAGTCACGTGTGCAAATATACTAATGACACTGCATACCATCATGGCATTTCTGATATGCATTAATCCAGTATCATTACAGACAGAAAATATTCTGAAAATCCCTCATGGTAAGATTTTAATATCAAATATTTTTCTTAATTGGTTATAAAAGTAAGTACATGATGTAAATTTTACACACTCTAAAATTTGTTTGATGTACTTAATTTAAAATATATGAAATATGTCATTTACAATAGTAAGCTACACTTCGAAGAAGCGACACGATCTTCTAGTAGTAAATCATTGTAATTTGAAACGATATTATTTACATAGTTTTTATTTATTTTTGTTTTATAAAATTAACTTTCAACTTCAATCGGTAAAATTTAACATCTCCATTTCTGAGAGATCTATTTAAATATCTCAAAGAAACTGAATTGTATTAAAACACATACGTATGTTAAATGTGCTTTACTTGAAATGTGTTTTAATCCAGTGTTTTAAGGGAAAAGAGGAATATATACGAAAAATGCATCCCTTTCCTAAAAGAGAAATTCCGCGAGACCTTCGGAGAGAGATAGATCACCGTGAGAGGCCTCTGGTTTAGGTCTCGCGGAACGATCCCGGAAAGAACAAGGAGCTTTCTCGAGGAACTAGGTGTTGATGTTGGGGAGCTCGCGGTATTGGCCGAAAATATTATTCTGGACTCCCTGGGAATCATCCACTATCATATTTATACCGATTGAGGACATCTGGTAATAACTGTTTATTAAATTTTGAATTGATTCGCTGTCGTCCTGTCTTTTTGTCTACATTCTGGGAATTGCTGTGTTATGTATGTGTGCGATGTTATAATGAGTTCCTGGCGTTTGAAAATTTAAAGAGAGAAACAGGGAAATAATTTTATTTTTTTTTGTCTTGGAAAAATGTTTATAGTGTTATTTATATTATTTAATATGGTTTTATTGTTGATAACTTGTAAGTGTATTGTTATGAAGGGGAAGAGGAAAAAGAGAGAAAGAAAGGAAAGATATGACATATATATGTATAAAAAATAGAAAAATGAAATATGAAATTAATGTCCTAGTGGATTGATAGGTATGCTGTGTACGAAGCAACCCTATGTAGTAGGGCAGCATTATTTTTAATGAAGTATTTCTCTCTCTCTTGCTGTAAATTGCTACATTTGAAGCAGTTTATAAAGTTTAAAAGAACCAATTTTACTAATTGTCAGTGTGTCTCTAAAAGGGCTGGATCAAACATTATTTTAGACTCATATGAATTTTATTTCGAAAAAAAAAAACTTTCGACAATCAGATCTGTATATAATGAGGGATCATTCGGACATTCTCATTTGTATCATCATGGAGACTCCATTCCTGTCGTTGGTGTGAAAATCTGCTTCTTGTCAATATTTGTATAAAAATCCCCCAAGATCATGTTTATATCACTTTTGAGCCGTAATCAAGGGTCTTATCTAACTTATCGTAGAACTTTCAGTTCTCATCATCAGGCGACACTTCGCTTAGTATAGCAGAAAAGGGCGGCGTAGTCATTGAATTGCAAGAAACAAATCCCTAAACCTACTGGCTTGAAGTCTACTACATGATTTCTGACTCTTCCTCTTACCACACGAAGTCAGTTCCAGACAATAAATGTTAATGTCCTTAGCAGCTCTAATAGCCGGTTTGGAACAGATTCCATAAAAGTACATTTCCTTTCCACCTTACTTCCTGCTGCGCAATCAAGTATAGTTTGAAGTTTAGAAGTTGTAGGAGTACCCTAAGCGACCCTAAAGATAATTTTTTTCATAGTCCAGAAGCATGGTAAAGGCCACCTAATTCTTCTCTAGCAAACAAAATCCTAGTCAAACTCCACCCCTGTTAGCTCCGGAGAAAATAAAACCCAGCCAATTATATCATCACAAGAGGCAGCTGAAGAATCTTCCTTTTTTATACCAAATTCATATAAGGTGCTTCAGAATTACAGAGAGGTAATGGAGTCCATACTGATACCAAGAGACTTCTGACCATCCTCTTCCCCTCCCCCCATATTCGTTAGGAACATAAAAATTTTTCAGTTACTATTTTCTCGACTAAACAAATAGCAGGCTCTGGAAGCTACTCATGTCAAAGTAGAACGAATTACACCAAAATATCACCAGATACAGCACAGACCAAGTAAAAAATTGCGAATTATCTAACAGAAACCTACCAATTACGGCAGGAGCGAGCACTAAGATTATTTATAAGAAATCTATGCCCTTCAACATCAGCTAAAACAATTGAAGAAGAACTGAAAACTTTAGCTTTCTAAGCGCGTCCGGTAACAGGTGTTATAAAAGAAAATAAAGAACTGCCAGGATTAAAAGTTCCTCTATCCTAATTTTTATTAGTCTTTTGAACCGATTCCAGGGATCGAAAAAATATATGAAATAAGAAAATTATAGTAAACAAATGTAAAAGTAGAAAAGCCATATTTTAAGAGGGGCATCGTCCAGGGCCAAAATGAGAGGCATATAACAACGAGAAGGCGCATTTATATCATTTATCAAGTTGTATGAAATGCGGTGGACAACACAAATCTGGTGAATGCACAAAACCTAAACAAGATCCTACAGTTTGTACTTTGTGCCTAGAAGGACATTCAGCAAACTACAAAAACAGGCTGGCGGATATACAATAGTATCATGCCTAGAAACCAGAAATCCCGGTCTCGAGAAGAAACAGTAAATCTGAACCAAGAAGAGGATTTTCCAAAATCGGAGACCCGACTGCGTCTTTTGCAAACTTACTAGGAGTTAAGAAAGAAATTACTAATGGTGAGGTCCTGTCGCAACAATATACACCTAAAAATTCTCAACCCCACCTCTAATATCCTGCTATTTCCTCCAAACTCCTCCTCCATCAAATACCACATATCTCATCAGTTTTCTTACATCATTCCTCTTTTACATTTTATTATTTCTCCGAAAAATTGACATATCTGACTTACCAAGCTGATGGAAAAGCACATGCCGGTGCTGCTTTCTTGTAGGTTAGGTAGCATTCATGTAAATTAATCGCTCTCCCATCACCTACAAATGACTTCCATGCATTCAGCGCTATCGTGATCAAAACCTTCTTCTTACCAGTGACCCTTCCATCGTATTGCCCTCCTAACCGATCCATATTCCATGTCCAGTTCATTCCTCTCCTCGACTCCTTAGAACATCATTTATTAGCCGTAAAAACTCCCGAAGACCTCGATAGTGCCATCAATTCCTTTACTATCGCAATTTAACAAGCTTTCTGTCAATTTCCTATCTCCTCCGGCGAGATGATGGCTGCTGGGAATCATCTTACGAAAGTATAGCCGAGAAGTTTGCCAGACACCTCTCCAATACATTTATTCCACAACCGGAATCCCGCCCCACCCACACCTTAATAGTAGAGGAATTCCTTACATCGTATACCCACTCTCCTTGTCCTCTAAAGCAATTTATTCTTCAGAACTGAAATTTCAATTACAAATATTCCCCGGAAATCTTCTGGATATGATCTCCTTAGTCAGATATTTCGACATCTTCCATCCAAAGCATATTCCTTACATATATCTACAATTGTATCCAATGTATCACTCACTTTCTTCTATTATGGAAACATCTCACTATTGCCCTTTTTCCAAAACCAGCCAAACCTTCCTACAGCTTGACATCATACAGACAAATTAGCTTACTCCAAATTCTTTCAAAAATCCTGTTATAGAATCCTAGAATCTAGTGTCTTGCTAGTGTCCTTGGGTTTGACAGAATGTAATATTTCTGAATGAGGAATTGAAATTACTAAAATTATTTTGTAAAATTTAATTGACAGTAAAATTGCCATTTTAAAACGTGCATACATAATGGTAATAAGCTATCTGTCATATTAAAAAAACTAAACAAGCAGAACTATTTCACTTGATGCAAGATAAAACCTTGTTATTCGATTATTTTAATGTACTATTTGTATGGCACAATGTATTATTTACCAATATAGTTTTTTTTTAAATATTAATTTATTGATAAATTAAATAATAATAATGTTATTTACCTTTCAGAGTTCGGTTTCAAACGATGCCTTCTTCGAACAGCAATTGTTGGACTGATTGTTGTCGTTGGGGAAACTATGCCTCAATTTGGTAAAATTCTGGCACTCATTGGAGCTTCTACTACCACACTTTCAACATTTATATTTCCAAACATCTTTTACATTAAGCTCTGCAACCAACGAGGGGATAATTCTAAAAGGTATTTTTACGATTATCACTTTATTATATTAAATTATATCGGGAATCGGCATGTGGCTTACCAGGATGTTAGTAGCCCCCCTGAGGTTCGGTTCATGGACCATCTATTACGGGGAAAGAAAAATAGGTCCTCGTGCGCCTGCTGACTTCGAGCAGCCATAATCCATGGATCTAGACCGATTTGTCACTGTCTTTGAACCCGATCGAGTCGGTGGGAAGGACGCTGCCAGATTGGCCCCAAAGGGATCGGCTGTGGAGCTATGGGGGCCTGCCTTTGCACCATGGAGACCATGGTTCGTAGCAACGTGAGGTTCGGGGGCGGGTGGCCGAATAGGCTAAAGCGTGTGCACAGCACCGCTAGTTGCCTGGCAACCGGATAACAGAGATTTGAGATGATATAAAAAGTACGAGTTCGCGTCCCGGTGCCGGAGGGGATTTTAAATTCCCCGCCCTCACCCCTCGGCTCGGGAAAATCCCGTATAGCCTAAAAGGCGAGGTAGGGAAGAACAAAGAAAAAAAAAGCGTGAAAAAAAAAACGTGAGGTTGGGTAATCTGAGCTGTAGGCTATCTGAGCTCCCAAAAGCGACATACATCTGTAAGGAGACCACATACCGCGACCAAAGATCTTCATGGTCTGTATTTCCAAACGAAGAAGAATATATAAAAGCGGTGATTTGATCCGTACACATAAGATCGGAATTCATCTAGCATTATAAAAGAAGCAAGTACTTTATCGCAGTAAAAATAAATAGCAAATATTAATTTGAGAGAGAGAATAAATCAACAGAAACGATACGCCTTCATTCTGATTAACGCAACCCGCAGAGCTTGAGCATTTATCTATTTCTAGCATTCTGGACACCATCAGTTAAAAGGACGTTTAAACAAAAAAAAAATAGTATTCTTGTAGATTGTGTAAGTTTGAGGTGATGTATTGGTTATCCTAAATCCGAGTTTTAATCAAAATATGTAGAGAGAAGACTAATCGCAAACGCACTGCACTGATATATTGAAATGTATCAACAAAAACTTGTTCAAAACAAATACATTATTCCATTTATTTTCCAAATAAAAATATATTAATTTAAAACAATATTTATAGACACCATGGCAACATAGATTTGCATACTGACTAATCAATGCACCCAACAGTTACACATACACACAAAGTGGGTACCAACTTCAAACATTCCATGAAATTACTAAGAATACTTATGTCAGAAAATAACTGAAAAGGAGCTGGTGTCTCTTCTATAAATTATTAATGTTGATATCCAGTACAGTGAATTATTAATAAACATTTCAAGTTTTACAAAAAAAAAGTAGGTAGGCCATGAAATTTTTGAGAAGGGCAGATTGGCATCTGTTACTGTCTCAACTACAACTTAATTTTAACAATAATGATCCACATTTTATGATTTTTATGTTATTTTCTTAAAAAATGAAACAGAATTTAAATCAGTATTTTAAGGAATTTTAATATGCTCCCTATCACAATTAAGTTAATAAAAACAATATTTAAGAAATGGTTCAATTCAGATTCAATTTGGCATTCTAATGCCCATGCCTGAATAAAAACTAAAGATTTTTAGAAAGAAACTATTTTTGAGAAAATTTATAAGAGTAATACTGAAGTGATATAATTAGGCGTTTAAATAAAAGAAATATGTAGGAAAGAACTGTTTTTTATTAATGTCTTTATTTCTTATCGGTCCATGTAAGAAAACTTTAGATGGCCACTGTAAGTCCTAGTAGCATGTAGCTAGTTATTTATTTTTATTTAAACTTATGAAACCCAAAGAACTGTAAGACTGAATTTGTAATAAATATGGCAATTGAAATATAAAAGTAATTATTTATTTCTAACTAAGACTATTCAAAATAACTTTAAATACTGTTAATTTTTAGTGAAGTTAGTTAAATTTGTATTTTGATGGTTAAATTGGGGGAAAGTGGAGAAAAAAGTTATTGACCTACCTTCTAGGGATATATAAGAAAGATAATATAGCATAAAAATTGTAATTGGAATATGTTCATTTTTAGGATTTTTTCCTGTTTTGAAAAAATCACTCGAACAGTTTTTTATCCGGTCTGGGTGGGTTGAAATTTATTTTTTGGAGGACCCAAGGAATCAATCCTGAATTTTCTCCTCTGTTTAAAATAGGTTTGGTTTTACCTCTGCAACAATCCTTCCCTCATAGAAATTAAATTCCAAACATGCTATTAATAAGTCAATTCATAGAAAAATAATGTTATAACTGAAATTAAAAGAGAAGCTTCAATGTTGCATTTATTTTTGAGATAAAATTTTCAGAATTATTTATCAGTTAAAAATAATTCCTTTATTTTTTTTGTTTTAGGATAATTACAAAACCAGTAATGCTATACTTATGGTTACTTATTTTGATTGGAGTCATTGGAGGAATAGCAGCAACCTACTCTTCGATTATTTCTATGTTTGGACCAGATTCATTTACCAAACCTTGTTATTGGCCTGATTGAGACACTGGTGGTCATATAAGGAATAGAATATTGTATAAAGAAATAACTGAAAAGGAGAAACTTCTAAGACAACACAGAGCAGTTTCATGCTCCAAAGCATAAATTCAAGGAGGCATTTGTAAAAATCTCAAATTTACTCACAATGTAGATGAGTGGAATGCATTTACTCCATTGTTCGAGCAAGAGAGATAGATCTGAAGACATGTTAAGTGCAACTGGAGTCAATACAACAATTTGATTTCAGTTTAATACATGTTCTACCATTATTTGCATGTTTTAAACAGTCTGTTAAGAGTAATTAAATAAATGATGTTCCAACCGCAACACAAGTTACAGACTAAGAAAAAATATCACTAGCTTTTTAAAGGAGGAAATTACCAAAATGTTAGTCTCCAAAAATGTGTAAAATATTCTAATCTACAATTCAGGAAGAGTTCTCCCTATTCAAGAATATTCTCAGAAGAGAAGGCAACTGAAGAAAAGTATCTAGTTTGAGTAAAAATGGAATACAATTATGGCTATAGGATCTCATTTATAATAGCTAAACTTATAGTAACAATGGTGATAAGAGTTCACTATCAAGTGGATAGTATCTGGTTTAGATTAGGTAAAAATTAACGCCATAAATAACAACCACAAACAAACATTAAAATTCTTTGCTATTAAACAAAATTTATATTTTTATATTCAATAGGTCAATTTGAATATAGGGTCAACAAACTATAGGTGTGTAAGAAAAATAGGAATTCCACTAACTAGGTAAAACAACCTATGATACTGAGGCGATCAAAATCATTTTAATTATATTAGTTAGAAATATTTCAGAAACAGCACATGTGGTTTTTATCAGTTTTGAGTTGAGACTTATTCTGAATACATTGTTCACTGACATCATTTAATGCAAAAAACAACTAGCATAAATAGTGTTAACATTGATAGTTTACACTATATATTTTTTGAAGACTTATCAGTGAAATTTTTTTTCTTCAAAATTGTAAAAATGATACATGCATTGTTTTTTAAATAACTGATTACATTATTTTGTCGCTATTTACATATATGGAAATAAAAATGGTTTTTATTACCAAATTTGTAACATAAAATATATTTTTACTTTTACTTACCTATGTATGAATCATCGCTACTGTTAGTGTAAAAATGTTGTATATAAAATTTGAGTTTTTTTACATAACATAAAAACTGATTATTTCTTTATGATTTATTAATATAATTTCATATTTTATTTCCCTATTTAGCAGACTACTTAGAGCATTTACAGAAAACAAAATGTCACCTTTAGCGCAAAGAGAGTAAACATTTAAAATTGTTACATACGATCTTTTGCGCTAAAAGTAGCAATGTGTAGTAAGGAAAAGTATTGTGATCATGAAAAAATGTTTGAATCCGAGTTTTCAACAGAGATATATGTTTTGAGTATCTCTGAGTCCAAATAACCATGTTTCGTAAAATGGTCTATGTATGTGTCAGTGAGTGTTTGTGAACACTCTAGCTCAGGGGTATCCAAATGTTTTAAGCCCGTGGGCCACTTATAGAATTACCTGTTCTGGTAGAAACATATGCCACTATGTTGTTGTTTTTAATACTTGATCATTAAGATTTTTGTTCAGAGAACATCATAAATTTCCAATTTGAAATGAAATGAAAAAAAAAAAAAATATTGTGAGACTACAGTCTCCTAAGAATAATGAAAATAAAAACTAATTAACTGCTTATTGTTATTGCAATTGTGTAGTAGATTGAAATTAACCAGTATACTGATGTAAAGAATTTTACATGTTAGCGAAAGTTTGAATGTGGAGTAGGTAGTAGAACAGCAGTTGTTTGAAGGAATTTGTGGAGCAGAATTGACATATGGAGGTAGGTAGAGAGTTCCAAAAGGAGATAGCATGTATGATGAAGGATTTGCTGAAGGAAGTAGTTTTATGGGAGGTGATATATTAAATCTATAGGTTGAGACCTGGTATTTAGAGACTGGATAGAAGAACGTACAGTAAGGAGTTTCCAGGATGAAGGGGAGGGGGAGGGGAGTTTGGTTCTGAGAACTTGGAAAAGGAAAACACCAAGGAGGAATTGTCGTCAGGAAATAGAATAAAGCCACTTCAACTTGGTGTACCAGAATGAAACATGTGAAAGCCTGGGAATTCCAAAGATGTATCTTATGAAACTTCATGAATTTCTTCAGTCTCATTTCTAGCCTGGCAGATAGTCCTCCATACACCAAACAAGTGTATGGAAGTGGTTTTAGTCGAAGTGAGGGAATGTAGGGAGGTTGCAAGGAGCTGTCTGGTATTTAGAGGAATACAATTACGGAATTTGATGCCAATTTAATGAAGAAAACCCAGTGAAACTGTTGCCATCTCTAAGCAAGTGAGAGACAATTGAGAAGAAAATAACCCCCTAGAGAGCAAGGATATATAATAATAAGACAGGCCTCATCAATACCAAAGAGACCCACCCAGGGAATGCCATAATAAAACAAACCTTGTATCTCCTTATTATCTAGCAGTTAAAAGATGCTTAGGGAACTGAGTAACAAATAGTTGTAAGTACACTATAATAGGCAACAGGGATTTAAAACTCTTAAAATTTTTAGTGGCAAGAAAATAGAAAGGTGGGCAAAATAATTTTAATTATGGGTAATATGTGACGCATGATGTTAAATTTAGAAATGTTTCATGAAACGTCGACAAACACATGCAAACAAGACAATGGGAGTCCACCGGCAAATGTGGCTACAGCAGTTTCTGTAGACCACATGATTCCCAGTGCCAATCTCAAATCAAAAGAAGTGTTCATTATCTGGTTTTATTACATCATCTTGCCACAAGATGAAGATGCTTTTTCAAAGCGCAATTAATGTTTAATGCCCATTTTATACTACAGAGTAATGAAGCCTAGTACAGAGACAAATTTACACCAATGATTTCTAAACTGAGTCTGCTGATAAGGAACACTAAAGGCTCTGAAGGCAAGCTGCATTTTGTAACTATACAGCAGAGGAAATGTCTAAGCAATATCATATCTCATTTTCATCCCCAAGTAATATTAATCCTGTAAATATTTTTGCTACTGTATTTGTTAAATAAAATTTCTAAAATTGTTGGGATTATTAAGATCACCTTTTTTTTCTGGAAAATGATAGATTTCTTCAAGAATTCTGACACAACTCCTAACTCAAAATTATTATTAGAAGCTATCAGTAACTAGTTTAAAAACTTTTGTTATGCATACTTGTAAAATTCATATTGTGTGCAGTCTGTACCTTGTGCCTTAAAATCTTTTATTTTATTTATTACTTTATATAACTATATATACTACGCTAAATAGTCTGTCCAAAAAAACAGAAAATAGCAGGTTCAGTGTACACTATCCTTACTGCCTTCTCCAACAAAATTTTTATTTTTAAATTTGTTTACTACTTTTTTATAGCCTTTTGTGATAGTTAGTATTTGTAATTTGTTTCCAAAATTATTATAAAATTGTTTTTTCTTCATCAAACACAATCTTTCAAACTTTTGTTTTTGATGGATATACGCTATCTTGTCACCAAATAAATGAGTTTCTGTACTTATTTAATAGCTTAAAGGATTGTTTTCTTTCCTTTCCACATTACCTATCAAACTATTTACTCTTAATCTTTTTTAATTTTAATGCTTATATCAAAGTTATAATTAACATTTGTAGATATTATTACAGTGTTTATAAGTTCTTTTACCCGTTCAGTATTTTGTGTGCTCTGATTCATATAATCTTCTCTGATAGCATTCTTTATTTTGTAAAGACCAACTTATTTTTGGCAAAAGAGATAACACATCTTGGTTACTGTTTATAGTTATTTGCAACAGGTAATTGTGGGCATGTGGTCCTAAAAGATTTGTACATCTACTTTAAAAGAGCTAACAAGATCCAAAACTTCCTTTAAGACAAAAATATAATCAATAGCTGAAACTCCATTTTTACCAATAGAAGTTAACTGCCCATTAATATCATGCCTAGTTCCGCCACACAGTGTCCAAAACTTAAACAAGTTGTCATGTTGTTCTTCAAGGCAAAATTTTTATATTTCCTTGATATGATTTTGACATTAGAGTAAAGATGATTTAAGTACCTAATAGGATAAAAAAATCAAACAATTTTTTGGTGTATTTTAAACTAATGAAAATTTAATTCTGAGAAGAAAATATTCCTTTTTTCACAAAACCCTTTAATCTATTACTTTTTACACAAAACCCGTTCTGAAGAAAGCTATAATGGAAAATAATTTATAAAAAAATGTGCAAATTTACAACATCTTTAAATAGTACAACAATTTTAAAATCACAATATCTTTTGAGAGGGACCGCGTAATAGAATTTGACTTCTGTTATTTTGTTCTGCATGAAACAATAAACAAAACCCATCTAATTTGGCTAGGTTCTAGTAGCATCGATATTCAAAATTTTACAATTATTACTCAACACCACAAATCTTCCACCTAAAAGCGCCAATAATACATATATTTGATTTATTTATTTAATGTATACAACTTTTAGTAGAGTTTCAGCGTGTTAATGTTAAGTAATAAATGCAAAGTTTTGAATATCGATAACTCAGCCAGATGCTACTAGAACCTAACCAAATTAGATGGGTTTTGTTTATTGTTTCATGCGGAACAAAATGACTGAAGTCATATTCTACAACCTTATTCTATAAAGAGAAAAGAACCTGTAGGCCTCTCCTAATTAAGGGGGTAGTGGTCTAACTTCCCACAGGGATCAGCGGTAGTGGAAAGTAGGGCCAGGATTGGATCCTATGATCTTAGATAATAATAATTTCATTATAATAGATAATTAACAATTAGCAAATTAGCCAAATTTTCCTTCAAAAGCTGATTTTATTTTTGTCGACTTTTAAGCAGCTAAGTTATAATGAGTTCTCTGTCAAACATATATTATTTGCAATTGGTTTTTAATACCTTCATATACATCGCTTTTAGAAAATGGTCATTGCTTAATAAGCTTTAAGTCCACATTAATAAAGTTGAGGTCTGTTTCAGAGTCATTTTAAGTTATGTAAAGGCATTGCGATTTGATATTCTAATACTCTAAACAACTAATTTTGATACATAGTATGTACTGTAATAAATTCATTGTGTAAATACACTTTCTACTTTACTTATAAGGGCTGCCATAGCTGCAATGGGCCCATGGGAACTTTCAACAATCAAATTTATTTTTTACAAATATAATGGTCTCATTTTTTTACAAGAATAGATCCTAAAGCTTTTAAAATTAATTTTGAAATGTGAGACTATTAACATTCTTTTGCAAAAGAGATCTCTACCAATAGGTTTAATAAAATTACCTTATATTTAATTAATCAAAACAAGTCCAACATTGCACAATAATTACTTATTTCTCAGAATCCAAGATACTATATATCTAAACAACGAATCAGGAAAGGCAAGATAAAAGAACTAAAAACATGAATTATTAGAGGAGAGCAATCAATGTAAAAATTTAATAATAGAAAAAACATAACTATGTTTTGGTATAATCTTAAATTTAGAACAAATATCAAACTGAGCTGTGGCCATTTAAAGCACACCTCCTTCATTCAAACCTTCTACCTACTGCATTATCTTATTCCTTGTATGTCAGACAATTGACCAATTAACCAATTTAAGGAAAATTCAAACAAATATATTGTATATTGGATAATTGGACCATGTATAAAGCAAAAAAAAAAAAAAAAAAAAATATATATATATATACCAAAATAAAAAAAACAAAACAAATATATTTGATTATTTGTGTTGATTGATGTCTAATTCTATAAAGAGAAAAATTAACAGATATTTCATCCAAATGCTTTGTGTTTAATCTTGAAATGTTTGTTGTTAAATGATAGGAAAGGGAATTAAGTCAATGTTAGATTTGTGTAATCCTTATTATTGTTTAATTTCTCTTGCTTTAAGGTTTAGGTTAATCGTAATTTATTGTTGTATTTTGTTGGCTATAATCTGGAAATTGATTATCGATGTTACAATTTATATATATATTTTTTATTTTTAGTATAACTGAAGATCTGACGTATTAATGCTATAAATTAAACAATATTGATGATTTTGAACATTTTTAGTTTAAAACGTTAATGTTTTACACAATTTTACGTATTCTGGTGTTTTACTGAGCGATTTTGCACATTTTTACGACAAAAATCCAGTCTTTAGTTACTATAAATGCTATTATTTTGCAAAACAAAATTAGTAAAATAAAAAAGCATAGTTGGGGGACCTGGGAAGGATCCCCCACTATGTATGCCACTAATGCTGACGTAGTTTAAGAACACAAAATAAAAGGAATACAGCATGAAATGAATATTACATTATAACTTTTTCATTACAAAAAACTTTCAAATGCACATAGGTGTAACATCTTAACTGTGGAAACCAATGTAATTATTTATAATAAATAATATCGAGTGATTAATTGATTAGATTCAATATGTAATATAGAAAGGGAAAGTTAAAAAATAGTTAGGAAAGTTGAAATTGCATTGATAAGTCATGCAAACAACACCAATATCAGTAGAATTAATAATTTTTATAAGATTTATAGTTGTAAAAACTAACATACCATGAAACTTAGTTACATTCAAACAATTACTTCTGTAATAATGTCAAAGCAAATAGATATAAATGAATAGTGTGATTTCATTAAAAAGAATTAAACCAAGTAAAATGTATAATTTTAAATAAATCAAACTAAAATAAAATTTTCATTGAACAGTTTATCAATTTAAGTTCATATCACTAAAACAGTTATAATGTTTCATTAATAATTAATAATAAGTCTTTTATTACCATTTAAAGAATAGTTTTGTTTATACTAAACAAAATTTACATATTGTTTTCCAATGAAATGATCCAAGGTATCATCCCAGCATAACACAACAAAGATAAGGGTAGGCTACAGTTTTAGTGTAACGATTATAATGGCGGTCGTAAGAAGTGTAGTTACGTTCATTTTTATATTAGTTAATCCATTCTATGTTTTCACTGATGAAATTATCGAGACTGATTTACAACTGTCCTTCAAATTTAATACTGTATTAATTTCAGTTCTTGTCCGAAATAAGGAGCATACTTTACCCTATTTTTTAACTTGCCTCGAAAGGTTAGACTATCCCAAGGATAGAATAGCATTATTGTGAGTATTAATGTAAAATAACAATTTTTTTTGTAACGGACAAAAAACTTGAGTTTTTATTAATACTAACCACACTCATATCCTAAGCATTTGCTGTAAGGGGTCAAAGTTTCGTACATTTATGACAGGTACTATCAACAATCGGTTCCCAAGTTACCTTCTTAATGTTTACAGCACCTTTATACCTTTTGAAAAGAGCGGCAAAATTATACCTATAATTATAACTTTGATTATTCCTTTTATATTAATTTTTAAATTAAAAATTATAGATATATTTTATAAATATTTATTAAACTACTGAGTAATGAAAAAAATGAGCAAAATAAATTTTTCGCAAAACAATGTCAATTTTATTCTAGTTTTTATTATAGACCTTATCACAAATGCTTTAGTGATTAGAAATAGAAAATAGTATTTCACTTTATAACAAAATAACTATTAATCCGTATAAAAAATTTAAAGTTAATAATTATGAATTATCAATGGAATGCATATTCTTTTAAAATACTCCAACTATGTTTACTTTTATATATATTAATGCCTGTTTTTTGAGCTTCCTGTTTGATGTTCTTTTTTTTCTACTCGTGTTGTATATCAGACTTTGGGGTAATTACTTGGTTAAGTATTCTTGTATTTTTTTTCTTGTTCTGATGTTATTTTATGAAATATTCATACAGTTAAATAAACTACCACGCTTATTACGAGTTCTTAAAAATAAAACAAAAAACTTGTCATTTATTCCTGTAGTATCTATTTGGTTTTGTTTTTTAAAAGAATACTCACTAAATATAATAATATGAAGCTTTTTCCCATGTTATACTTTACAAATTAAATTAAAAAAATTATTTTGAAGTATTCATAACTTATTTTTAATACTGTTGCTTTGGGGATTGTCAATAGGCAAAGCTATGTTTGATAACAAATTTACAAAGTACATTTGATAGACCTGCTTGAGGTAATGAAATATTTTCATTTTCTTATTGATCATTATACATTCTTATCTATAATGTTTATAATTCATAATTTACTGTCTCAGATTTGTAAAAATAATAAAATTTTAAAACATTAAAATTTTAACATTTAAAGGCAGATAAAGATTTTATCAATGATATTCTGTTTAACATTTACACTTTTTATTTCTTCAATTCTGTTCAATCAATCAATGTTCCCAAGTCCAGATCGTAGGACAATGTTTCTGATCTAATTCCGGTTAAAATTATAAACCTCTGCCAATCTATCTTCTCCATTTTTACACACGTATAACTTCTCCTCTCAAAATTTTGTTTTACTTAAAGCCTTGGAAAGAGTTATTGCAAACCCATTGAAAAAAAGTTCATATTCTTTCTTCAGCTTCTGTTTTCAGACATATTCTTATTTTATCTAATTTATCCAAAGCAATCCAAGGATTCGTCTGCTATCATCTTTAAAACTTCCTCGAAGAGGACCTTTTCCGCAATCCCTTACAATTTAGTTTACAATTCCAGTATAAGATCTAATCTGCTCCCTCAAAAATTATCCGAAATCTTCGATGCTACATCAATAAACATAAAATCTTTTATCTTAGTGATTATTTTCTAATTTATCAATCCTTTTAAAAACCAATTGATTCCTTTACCTACTTGGTAAAGAAAATACTGCTCTAAT